CAACTTTGCAAAGTTTACATCTTGTTAAACTTAATGCAGAGATTCGATGAATAGCTTAAGCATGTTGTTTGTGAATACAGTGATAGCTCTGTTACTAATAGTATTACAACATTTTACGTTGTATTTCCAGACAGCAAGATTGCATCTACGAAAAGCCTTGGACCCGAATAACGCGCGATCGAGTGCTATTGCTGAACACGCAAATAATTTTTTTGTTGTTGTTGTCAACATGAATACGACTGTTTAGATGATTTAGAAATGTGCTGAAATAAGAATTGCTAAGCTAAACTTAAACTAGGAAGAAAATTTTAAAAAAAAACTTGAACGAAATAAAAACAATTCTTTAATAAAAAGAAATAAATAAGCGCTAAAATAAAACTCAACTCGAAGATAAAATTACTTTTTGTTACGTTTTTTATTGCCTTTGAATTAAATTACGTTTTATTAAAGTTAAGCAAAACTCTTTTACAAATTACCTCTAATTATTGTTTAATGAATGAACAAATTTTATTTAAATTATTAATGTATTATATATATTATTTTTATATTGTATAAACATTATTTTTTTCCAAAAAGTAGCAAAAAAAAAAGAAGTCTTTAAATTAATGTAATTTTTTTTTAAATAGTAATTTTTAATAATTTCATGCTTTGATAAGTAAGCCAAGTTAAAAAAAAAAGTCTTTAAACAGTTCTTTGTAAAAATAGAAACAAAAAATAATGCGAAGAAAAACACACTGAAATTAAAACGTTGGAAAAACTAGCCGAAGTTTTGGTAGAGAAAAGGAAAAAAATATGAAGCTTGTTTCTTTGTTTAAAGATATTTCTTTATAGTAGGGTAACTTTACATAATTTCGCCCATCACTCAATCTCGCTAACCATCTTTAATTGCTTATATGTCAGTTAACTCACACGCTGCTCTATCAAAAAGACTTTCTTTTAGAGCCGCAAACCAGCCTTATCAACATCAAAACAACTTTGACCTTGAAAGAATCCCAAATAAAAAAGTATCTCTTGAAGAAAGTTTGTTCGTTTTCGGTAATTTTTTTGCTATTTAAATTTGCCAAATTCAAACCAGCTGATACAAATCTATCGAGTTAATTGTTTAATCCGCATGTTAAATTACAATTTAATTTTGTTCTCCACTGTTTAATCCTTGATTGTAATAACATTTATAATTGTTTGAAATGGTAGAATATGCATAAAGTTGTTTTGTGCTCAACCTACCAAATTAAGTCAATTTCGCCAACAGAATAAATATATTGTCGCCTAATGCATTTAATCTCGCCCGGGTGGGCGAGAATCGATGTAGCATAATATATTAAAGGTGAGTTTCCACTCATCCGTTTTTTCACGGGAACGGGATAGGAAAGGGAAAAATAATCACATGAGCATGCGTAGTTTTCCTTCAGACATATTAAAACTTATACTACGCATGCCCACGTGATTATTTTTCCCGTCCGTTTCCCGTTCCCGTGAAAAAACGGATGAGTGGAAACTCACCTTAAGACTTACGCTGGCACAAAAAACCTCCATAGTCAAACGAGTGGAAATCGAAGGTCAATCACTGTTATTGCAATGTAAATGCACAGGGCAAGCTCATTCCACCCCAGGTTATAATGAAGGGAAAGGCATCCGGGTCTTTATAGGGTTTTAACACTGAGTTCTGAGCGAACAAATTGGAGCTGATCCGATAGTGGTTGGACTAATAATTATTGATTCTGGATGGGCACGATTCTCACAACTTTATTGAGCTAATTGATATTGCTACCCAAAATTAGATACATATTGTTAAAGTTCCTTTACACACATCAAACTGGCTTCTTCCATACGACCACACCTTATTCAAGCCACTGAAAGATTATTATTGCTCTACAATACAAGATCTGCCAGTTTCCAGGAAACATTACTTGTCGTTCAAATTTTGCAGAAATATTTGCTTCAGCCTGGGTAAAACCAATGACTTCTAGCAACATTTCATCTGAGTTTAAGTCGTGTGGAATTTATCCATTTAATCCTCAGGCTATTCTTAGTGATGCATATTTACCAAACTATCTACACATAGCTGAGGATATATCAGTTAATACAACTGAAAGCAATTGTTCTTTGGTTAATATTGTACTATCGTGTTTTTGCTAATACAACAAAAATTATTATTTAAACTTTAGTTAGCAACTGTGACTAATATTTTATGTACAAATAGATAAAAATGAAGCATAAAGTTTACTAACTTCCATTTCAACAGTATTATTTATTATTTTCTTAGGAATTCCAATCATCAATTGCTTAATAAATTAATTTTTCAGACGTTGATGCTTCTATAGATGCTGGAAAAGTTGCTAATTATCTAGAACAATTACAAAATGGCACTGAAGAAGATTTACGCAACTCACAGTTCGTGACAAAGCAACACTTCTATTTTGGAAGCAGAGACAATTATGTTGTTCATAATAATCTGCGTGCGTGTTTAGTCAATCCAGTTGAAGAAAAAAATGTTGACTGCATTGTGAATAGATTTACCAATCTTATTAAGCAAAAAAAAAAAGAAAAAAAAGCCATCAAACTTTAATTCTACTACAGTTTCAGATTTTCCGTTTGCAAACTCTTCCTACCCCTGGTTAGGAAGAGTTTGCAAACTCTTCCTACCCCCTGGTAAGTCGATCATTTTACTGTTTTTTTTTTAATTTCATTTGATCAAGTGATCAATAGTTGCATAGCAACAATGCAATTTTTAATTAATTTTAAGTTTTAAAATAATTCAAATTTTTTTAATTATTTAAATACTTGTAATTTTATTGAATATATATGTTTTTATCAATGCAGGCCACCGCACGGAAAATGATAACGAATAGAAAAGGTCAGCTTAAATACTTCGTTTTAACTTCTCAAGAAAGATACTCATCAAAGCTAAAATATCACCAAGACAAAATCCAAAAGGAAAGAGAAAAATGCAAAAGAAAACAACTGCGATTTGTTAATGCTGCTAAGTGAATCAAAGAAAAAGAAAAAAAAAAAAAGATATTGGCTAAGAAAAAAAAATTTAGAAAATCGTGCCAACAAGTCTATAGCAACAACAAAAAAGAAGTTCATTTTGTTATCATCTGAATTGCAACCATTGGTTGATCCCGAGAACAATACTGATTTATACGAACTAAATATTTGACAATATTTTTTTTATATAATTACATTTATGCATGTATGCATTTTTAGTTATATAAAAAAATATATTTTGTTGTAACGTCCCCCTACGCAAGTATAAGTTCTTTTTTAATTTACACTGTGGGCGACTTTAAATTAACTTGCGAGATTGATTTCAAGTAGGCGTGAATCAGTGCTTTTGACACACTGTACAATTTATAATGGTACTGCCAACTGCTTTCGTAATATCTAAATAATATTACATAGTTTTGTAGCTGAAGGAATAAGCTATCTAATGATGTATAATTCAGCTGTGCAAGTCTAATAACAGCCTGTCAACATCGATTTCAGTGCGGATGTGGACGAGGTTCAATTAAGTTACCATAGCTATTATTTTTCTTTACAGAATAACATCTTTTTTTTTATGATTAATTTTTTTTTAATTTTCTTACTCTTTTTATTCGAACTTTATAATATAGCAAACTTAATTTTTTGTTTGTGAAACTTTAAGGATACTTAAAAGGAATAGAAGCAACCCTTACGCCTATGCTTCCCATATGGACACCCTCTCGGGTCACGTAAAGAAATCCTTATGGGTCCCGCATCTAAGCCCGTACTCTTGCGGTACTTATGCACACTGGTTGGCAGAAAATAGAAATTATGAAAACGTACAAAATGAAACGTCGCTTGAACAATTAAAACTTTTAAATACTCAATATAAACCCTTCTAAACTATTTAAACTCAATTTAAACTTTTTTTAACTATAAAAATTTTAAACGCTTTAAACTTTTAAACGCTTAAAGAGAGCCAATACTTTTAAACGTTTTAAAGATTAAAATTTTTTATTATTATTAATATTATTATTTTTATATTTTTTTTGTGGTTTGTCAAAACCATTGGCGAAATACAAAATGTTCTCAAATTTTTAATGAATATTAAAAGGTTTTTTTCAATAATATTTACTACTTTGCTTACTTAATATCTAATTATCAAAAATAAGAATCTTTATGGTGAAGAATAAAATTAAAAAAAAATTTAGGGTGTCGACTTGTCCAAAAAAACTTTGATCAAAATCTGACAATGTAATTACATAGCATAAATTTTTTTTTGTCAAAATGATTTTTACGCCTATAGCATGGAAGTAAAATTTCCAAACTTTAACTTATGCTTTGATTATTTAACTAAGAGTTTATTAGATATTTTTTTAAAAAATGCTAAAATTTCTTTAAATAGTCAAAGGTTTTGCAATTCTTATAAAACGCAACTTTGATGTCAAACTTTTATTATTTGCACCTAAACTACTATTTAAATCGTTAACTTAAAAAAAAACGTGAAAATGATTTTTATTACTTTCCCCAGCGAGAGAAAAAATTCCGCCCGCAACATGGGGGCAGCTGCCAGCTGGGAGACAGAAACCACTAGAAGCGGCTTCTAAATCATTTTGCCTCCAAAAAACTCTGGCTGCGGACGCTGAATGAGAAGAGAAAGCCACTGAAGATGGAAGTTAATACATTTTGCTTCCGAAAATATTTTATAAGGTGACCGCCAACGGCTTCTACTTCCATAAACAATTGGCATTTTAACAGAATGTTACTTTGCCGCCGGGAGGCATTGTATAATTTCACTTTTTGACATGCTTCTATAACATCCGAAATCTTACTAAAAAATTGTAAAAATGATTTTCATTCTTAAATTAATGTAATTATTTATAATAATTGGTGTTAGCGCAAAAGCTGGCACAACCTACCTCAAAAATGATTTTCTTTTTCATTAAGCAAAAAGTAAAGTAAAAATTATTTAACTTTATTTGAAGATTATTTTAATTTAATTTTTTTAATTTTATTTAAAAAAAAAAATGGCTTACTTTGGCGTTTTGCCGAGGTCATTAACCACAACCACTACTAATCGGTTTACTTTTTTCAGTTTACCCATAGTTGGTAGCTCTATTTTTCCGAAAAAACTTGAAATAACAATTAATATTAGATAATTATTTTTTTATCAAATTTTCTTTTATATTGAATACACAACAATAGTTTAAAGCAGTTATTAAAAAAATAAATGTGATATTTCACACCTTGTTTTGCTATATGCAGTGACATTTGAACCTGTAGTTCCACTAATCATAACATAAGCCGTTCCTTTAGCATTTTCAGCGAGCTGAACAGTTAAATAAGTAAATTAGAAAAATGAAATCCATCACAAACTGTCAAAAAAGAATTAAAAGGCTTACTAATCTTGATGCAGTTGTCCAAAACGGGCCTGAGGTACTAAACGCGCAACTATCATTGCAGCTGTTATAGTCGATCCCGTCTTTACAGTTTTTACAACCACACCATTTTAGACCGTTTACCAGGTAACTGAAAAAAAAAACTGAGCAAATTATAAAACGCATTTGCAAAAAAAATCTGTTCCTTCATATAGTTGACGATTAATACGTTATAGTAATAGCCGTTATTTTAGAATAATATACTTTAGACTTTAAAAGAATTTAAAATTCATTAATTTATTTAGGAATCTAAAATTACTTTTCCCATCCCTTTCCTGTTCCCGTAGAAAAACGTATAACCTTAAGCGTGTTAAGAATTTTGTTACGTCATTGTCCCCAATACCTGACTGTCAGTTATAAAAAGATAAATTTTTGATTGTTTTATTTATCATTTAGAAAGACTCGACACACTTGGAAGGAACGCAGTTAATTCGCTTTTTAATGTCTCCAAGTATAGTAAAAACTATATACACTCTTTATTTAAAATTAAGATGTCAAATTATATACAAATAAATTTATTTATCCGCGTTTTAAACAATAAAGTAACCTTTGAAATCATTAATTCCCAAATTAACTACTGTTCAGTTGAATTTTTTTTTAGATGATATAAAAGAATTATGTAATATTCATAAACAGAATATGAAAACCTTAATGCTGGTTGAAAAAAAAAGTAAAACTTAGAGACTCAGAGAATGTAATTCCTGAAGCTACTCTTCATATTTTGGTACAAGCGGTTCAATGTTGGAATGTAAAGCAACAGCGAACAATTTTTAAAAACACATTTCAAAAAATTATTTCTAAATGATACTTTTTTATCTCTCTTTTATATATATATATATATATATATATATATATATATATATATATATATATATATATATATATATATATATATATATATATATATATATATATATATATTATTTTAAAACATCAAAAATACGATTTCTCTCAACACTTATAATTTTTTTATTATTATATATAATAATAAAAAAATTATAAGTGTTGAGAGAAATCGTATTTTTGATGTTTTAAAATAATATATAAATATTCTCTCACACAAGATGTTATCCTTTAAATATATATATATATATATATATATATATATATATATATATATATATATATATATCGATAGATAGATAGATAGATAGATAGGTAGATAGATAGATAGATAGATAGATAGATAGATAGATAGAATTTTGCTAGTTACTATCGTTAATATTATTTGTTAACTGAAAAAAATTACCCTTGAAATGTGTCTTCTAGTGTATAAAGATTACTTTGTACGGTTGTGTAATGATGTGCGATCTCGTAAGTTTTTGACCAAAATAAAGTCTACCAATATTTAAAAAAAAACCATAAAAAAAAAAAAAAGAATAAATTTTAGCAAAATTTTGAAAACGGTTAAAAAAAATTATTAACTCACCCGATCAGCCAAAGGTTTTTTGCTCATTAAATTAAAAAATGGTTCATAATTTGTTTCGTTAAGCTCCCCGTTACAAGTATTTTTAAATGCAAAGCTATTAGAAAACAATTTCCAAACTTTCATGCAATCGACGTCCATAGATAATTCTGGAATACGATTTAGAGGATTTATTTGCTGAAATTGAGCGCAGCGACCTAAAATAATTTCTTTAATACCAGGAGTGGTACCTTTAAACTCCCAAGGATTCATTCCACATACAATTGATAATGTTAAGAAAAAAGTAAAGCTCTGTAACGACTGCATGTTTATATTTATATCGCTAAAAGGTGAAAAAAAATTAAATCTTCCTATCTAGCGTGTCACAATAATTATTTTTTATAGTTACGCACCATTATAAATACTATTTCAATAAATTTAGAGTATACTGATATTTTGAAAAAGTATGCAAACAGTTAATTATAAATAAGCAATTATTAATAAATTCCATTTACAGGGTATTTAAAGTTTATTCTTTTGTAATTTGTTTCATCACTTTACAGGTTGAAACAAATTACAAAAGATGAGCCTATTGTTAGTGTTAACATTTTTAAAGATGCTTACATTACTTTTAAAAGCTATTTTAATTATCATCTTTTTATTATCGTTGATAATGATGATGAATAAAAACTAGATAACTATGACATAATAACGGTCCCAGATTCGACGCCGGCTCTGGCCAATTTTGCAACATCGGTTAGGAAAAAAGGCGTGAACATCCTAGCATGAAAGTATAAACAGATGAAAGTTCATCAAGCTGCAAACATCAAAGCGATTTCAAGTCTTGGGAGTAGGCTTATATCCGACAATAAAAAAACGAGTTTTACTGGACAAAGGACAGCAAAAGTTTACTGAAATTATTTTTATCAAAACATTAAAAAAAGAATTATTCAAATGATACGCTACATAGTTTGAACCTTTAGTTATTTTAATTATTCAACAAAATGTTTACTAAAAATCGATAATTAAATAGAACCACTTTATTTTAAAAGCTTGTGTTAGTTAAAACTTCTTTTATTGCTTTGAACACGACATTTAATTAAAAAGGCAATAAAGCGTTATAAAACAGATTCTAACCTTAACTTTCTAAACCGGGAAAACCCTTTGGTGGAATGATAGCTCTTGCAACGAGGATTACCTAGATATAAGTATCTAGATCAGGTTATAACCCTCTGCCAAGTTATTTACATTTTAATTTTCATCCCAGTAAACTCAAAACATGTTTTAAACGTTTAATAAACGTATTAATACGTATTAAAACATATTATAAAAAGACTAGAATATTTTATTGATTGCACAAACATGCGAAATGACAGCTTTGAAATGATTGCTTATTTTGTTTTTTCAGAAGTACGCAAAATGACAGCTTTGAAATGATTGCTTATTTTGTTTTTTACAGAAATGATTGCTTATTTTGTTTTTTACAGAAGTAAAAACCTCCTATTTACATCAATATAAACAAGGAAAGCAAAATTATATATTCTTGAAGTTATGTAAGTAACAAACATAAAATATATTAACAAAAAAATCTTTTTACATGGAACAAGTTCTAAAAAATTTCATTTTCAAATCTCTTCTTAAAATGACTTTTTACAAGCAGTGTTTACTTTCGAAGTCAACATTACAATTTTTTACTGTACTGTGGATGATGATTGGGCATTTTGTACCTTTGTCAATGTATCTAAAAGTTGAGATAATTTGCTTCTGTTGCTTGTTTTGAGTTAAGCCCAAGAGCTTGGCTTACAGACTCTTTTTGCAATGTCAGATAAGACACTATGAATGATTTAATTTTTTGTGGGTAGTTTGGTTCAAGGTTGCATCCAAAACATGAATTTTTGAAAAGTATCAATAAATAGGATGGGTGCATAGCATGAGTGTTTCTCAGAAATTGATTGAAGAATATTAATTCTGTGTAACAGTTTTCTGGACTGATTTCCTACAAAATGTCCACCATTTTCTCAAAATGTCCACCAAATGACTACCATGGTAATGTTGTTGTTTAATGCGTAATGCATCAGTCTAAAGAGTTGCTTTAGGAAAAGCTTGAAGTACGCAGCAAAATGATGATTAAAAATTTCAATTAGGAGATGCAATTCCATCGGAGGTAGGAACTTCAAAACAAAAGTTTTTCTAGGTAGTTTAAATATTGGAGAATGAAGAACATTTTTGTGGTCATGAGCTTTTCTGATATTTGAACCTGCTGATTTGAAGAGTGAGACATTTTATGACGTACTTTTGATGGCTATAACTTTATTTTTGAGCTTATGGTCCATACAATGTATGACAGTCCTCACATATCCAGCATGATCTTGAATTGATGAACTTGTAAAATGGTATACAAGCTGATTGCTAAATTTTTCTTAACAATCTGTTATGAGGTTGACTGATTAATATTAGCTGCTAACCTCTTGATGCCAATGTTTGAATGCCCTGTGTTAGTTTGAACTTGACCAAGATCTTTTACACTTATTGTTGAATTTCGATGGAAAAGTTAAAGTTATAATGAGTTCAAAATGTTAAAAGTTTAATATGTCATTACTTTGAACTATAAAAAACTAAACTCATACTTGGTGTTACTGGAAGCATCTTTCCACCATAAGATTGACTTAATTGAGCTGTTCCATGTAGAGAAAGAGCTTTATTTGAAACAACAAGAATTGCAACTCTTTCTGATGCCAAAGAATCTTTTGTTACAAAAGAAACAAGATTATGTCTCATAGTACCTTTTGTGCAGTTTTGAGGCATCCTTCTGTCCATAATTGAAAAATAATCTGAACATCTTTTTTCTAATGTTGAAGAACATGTTCAAGCTGCTGAACTTCGTGCGAATTCAATTTTCTTTCGACTATTGTTTCTCAGTTTTTCAATTCAACAGAATAAGCAGTTACAGTGAGAGTTTCGATTTTTTGTTTGACTCAAACTTATACAATGATGGGAGTGTGATTTCCTCTCCACTCTCTATCCGTCTCAAACAAGAGCAACATTTTTCACAAATTTTAAGTGAAACTTTGTCATCATTAAAGTCGATTTTTTCTTTGAGTATAATCTGACTTCTTTATTTTAGATTTAATGTTAGCTCAAGTTTACATTTACTGAAACAAAGAAAACAAACAGTTTTTCTACATTTTTGGTGGTTTTTAGCAGTATTTGACATTTTTGGTAAAGTTAGATGTGCACAGTTTAGCTCTCATTTTTAAAATAAAAAAGATTGCAATTTCCCAGAATTGAAAAGTATAAATTTTATCAAAAATTAATTTTTTACAAAATAATCATAATTTAGTGGTGAAGAATTGCAAAATAGGCTGTCATTTTGCGTGTTTGTTCAATCAATAAATCCTACTTAACAATAATATATATATTACACTTAGAACGTGTTTAATACTAATATTAGACGTTTTAACACGTCTAATATTAGTATTAAACATTTTTAATATTAATATTAGACGTTTTAATACGTATTAATATGTTTATTAATACGTATTAAATGTTTAAAAACACGTTTTATGTTTACTGGAATAAAAATTATAAATAACTTGACAGAACGTTTTAATCTGATTTTGATATTTGTTTTATAACACTGTGGCAACTAAAACAATTTTTAAAAAATACAAAAAAAATGATTTCTAAATAAGTAAAGTTTTATTAGTTGTATATCATAATTCCATGCTTTTTATAGTTCATTCATTTAATATGAAGTTTAAGAAAAAATTGTTTTTGCCGTTTTGTTGTCTTCATTTTTAATATTTATACTTGAATATTATTGGCGAACAGTCAAAAAACTATATTTTTAAACTATTATGAACGTACCTATTTACGTCAACGTATAAAGATGAGGCGTTTAAGTACAGTCTTGATGTCATTTTCTTTTTTTTTACGAAACAAAATGTTACGAGCATAGTCCCAAAACATTTCAATGTGGTTGAATTTTCATCTGTTTAATACTTCAATGATCCTAGTTAAATGCTCTTCCAGGGCATTCTGTGACAAGACCGTTAGGTCTTTTTGGAACGCCTTGTTAACCAGACAGATGAAGAAAAAAAAAAAGAAAAAAATACAAGCAATTTAAGTGACTCAGTAGGTGCATTCTATTTTTATTTACATTAGATCTTTAAAAGATAAAACGTATCAGCTAATACCACAATATTTAATTGTGAAGAATAACCTAATATCGTAATATTGACAAATTGCATGAAACTTATACTGCAGCAAACGGGAACCTTTAAAATACTTGCTAATATTTTAAAATTTTAAATTTCAATATATAAACTGATATTAAAAATTTATTAGCTCAAAATTCTTTTTTTTTTTACTAACTCCTCACTTTGCTTCATCAACCCCCTACTTTATAAACCTATTACAATTAAATCATCCCGATTTTTATTCGCTTCATTTGTTGATTATAAACATTTGTTTTACTTGCTGAACTTTATTTATTTAAACGTAAACAGTTTGTTTCACATCTTCTAGTAGTGTGCGCAATTATTTTTGTTTACTGTTTTATTTTTCAGAGACTCTTGTAAGAGATGTCCAACCTTTCGTTACATTTTGAAATATGTAAAGTATGCCACGGTTTACTTTAATTCTTAACACTTATATCTTATTGTCTAGGTAGGCAGTTTACTTTAGTTCTAAAACACACTGGCTATATAGATAGCAAGAGATAATTACTAATAGAGAAATGTTCCATAATATTTTTTATTAATATTTAATATCTTTTGAATTTCTTAAAGTACTTATAACATTTTTATACAACATTGAAAATAATGTCTAACTTATGGACTCATAGAGACTCTTGTAAGCATTTTTTTTATTACTGAGTAAATGTTGCTCAAGATAAATTTACACCCTTATTATTATAGTACAGTGCCTAGTCGTCACCTTTTTTTACCTAGTCTCATAAATATTCATTTCTATCATAAACTATCGATCGCACAGTTTTAGTCTATAGTTGGGCTCAACAATACTGTTAAAACAAGTGACCTCAGATAATAAATAAAAAATATATAGCTCCTTTTTAATATATTCAACACTATTCCAAAATTCATTTTTGGTCACTATTCCTGTCACTTTTGTGTAAGAACGTTGACAACAACATAAATCAATCAACTGCAACAAATTTAGACGCCATTACGCCTGAACAATGCCAAAAATAGATCTCATCAATAGGTTGGTATTGTCAAGCAGTTATTGAATTGAAAGGATACCCCACTATTAATTTACTTCAAATAAAGTTTTCTTAACTATTTATTCAAAAAACCTTTATGATTTTTATAGCAAAGGC